GGAGGAGGAGGAGGAGGAGGAGGAGAGGGGGGAGGAGGAAGTGGAGGAGGAGGACCCGTTCGGATGCAGGGTCCCCAGAGCAGGCCACGTGGTCGAGGCCTCCGCACCTACGTAGGTGCGCCTGCAGGGCCCGGACGCCGCGCGCGCGCACGCGCGCTGCGCGCGGGCTCGCGCGCAGGGCGCACATCGTCGGGGGGGTCAATTTCGAGGCTGGAATTTATCCATATCCACAGCCTGGGGGATCGATCCCCGCGGACCTTTATAGGCGGTGGATATGGATAGATTCGGGCCCTCGGGGGCCAAACTATATCCATATCCACCGCCCGCTGGGGCACCAGGGCGTCGGTTCCCAAGCGGTGGATATGGATAAATCATAGCCTCGCACCAATGCAGCCGAGGGGGTCGATCTTTCCCCTTGGCTTCTTTTGCAATGCGAGCATTTTGGGCGTTCGGCTCGCTCTTGTTGGGACTCGGGGAGACGCGATGTCGCCACGGCTGGATCTAGGAAATCTTGCCCAGAACGCACGCCAGGAGAGGGCCGGTGATCGAGATTTCGCCTCGCACCAAGGGTGTCCACGGCTCGGTCGGTGCGACTGTGTGGCGGTCGGTTGCATTCGGTTGGTTTGGCTCGGTTTGTTGCTGCTGACTTCTCGGCCGCTTCCGGTAGATTTGTCAGTTTCGTTGTCGGCTCATGCCGTTTTCCATTACGTTGTCGCCGTGGACGGCTTTGGTTCAGTTCCCTCTTTTTATTATTGAATCGCTTCGCTCATTCCGCCGGCCCATTTCGCATGACTGAGCCTCTTGGGGCCGCTGGGGGGCCTCTTCAGCGTCGCTTGGGGGCCTCCTGAGGGCCTCTTGGGTGCTTTTGGGGCCTCTCAGGGGCCTCTTGAGGCCTCCTGGGGGCTTCTTAAGGCCGAGGGCTCGAAGTTTTGTTTTGTGTTCCCCCTTTGGGGCATCGCTTGGGGCCCTCTTGGGCCGGCCGTCTTGGAGCCCTTTTGGGCCATCTTGGGGCCTTCTTGGGAGCTTCTTGGGCCCTCTTGGGGCGATCTTGGGGGCCTCTTGGGCCGTCTTGGGGCGTCGGGAAGCCGAAAAGATGGACACGCCAAAATCTGCCCAAAACCTAAGGAAAAGTAATGAGTTTTGCCTCTTGGGGCCCTCTGGGGAGTGCTCTTGGAGGCCTCTTGGGGCGTCTGGGGCCATCTTGGGCGTCTTGGAACGATCGTGTGGCATCTCGGAGCACTCTTGAACCATCTTGGAGGGCTCTTGGCGGCCTCGTGGCCCTTCTTGGGGCTCTCTGGAGGGCCACGGGGGCGGCGCCCAGGAGGAAAACCATCTCTGACCCGAGTCTGCCGGGATCGCCCGGGGTACTTTTCGTCCGGGGACCCCCAGGGGCCGCCCCGCGCGCGCGAAGTAGAAGTATTATTTAGCAGTTGCCGGAGATCTTAGCACGCCTCTGGCCCGTTGGGCCGGCGAATTCTCCTCCTCGTCTCGCTCAGTCGACCAGCAAGGGGATTGGACATGCAGGGTTCGATGCCTTGTCATTTCCCTTCCCCCGGGGCCCGATGAACGAGTCGGTGGTGAGTGGTAGGGCTGGGCGCACTGACGCGCCTCGCCCTCCTTGGCGTAAGACGTGTCTCCTTCCTTCGCGCCCTTCTCCTCAACCTCGGGTTCGGCCCTTCGCCTCCACCTCAGGTGTCAAAAACCACCCCGAGCCCCGCCCCCCCCCCCACAACCGGCGCTTGCTTGCCTGCCCCGTGTCGGTCCCCTTCGGGTCCTCCTCTGGGCGCGTATGCGAGAGTGCCTGTTATCGTCCGCTCGATCGGCTGGCTCTGAAGTGCGACTCGCCAGCCAGCCGCGCATGGGCCGATCACCGCGCTCCGTGGCAAGTGCGGGCAGTGCCAGAGTTTGGTGGGCAAGTTCTCCACCACCACTACCACGGACCACATGTAGGTCCGGGGGAGAAGGGAGGATGAGGAGGTCCTCCTCCTCCTCCTCCTCCTCCTCCTCCTCCTACTTCTCCTCCTCCTCCTCCCTCTCCTCCTCCTCCTCCTCCTCCTCCTCCTTCATATGGTAGCGGTGGTGGAACATGGGCCAGCAGAATTGGCCGCACACCGGCGGCGCGCCTGGGAGTGACGGGGGGGGGAGAGGCCTCCTCCTGAGGGCGCCGCGGCTTCGCGGAAGCCCTCCTGCCTTTTGAGGAGTTCTCTGCGTCTTCGGATGAGGCTCAGCGGGGGCTTTCCAGAAGGCCCGAGGCCTGCCGAGCCTTCTGGGAAGGCCCGCCCGCCCGCCCCCTTCCCCTTTCCACTCCAGGCTTTGAGCAGGGGATCGACTACAGAGTTGATTCGCCCCGAACTTGGTTCGCTCGCCGAATCTGCAAACCAATATGCATAATGCTCGTACATCTATAGATAATCCGATGTACCTTTCGCAGCTTCGACGGACAAGTCATGAACCCAGGGGTAGCGCACCTCTGTGCAGTCGATCCCCTGCTCGGAGGCTCGCCGCCGAGCACAGACGGAACGCCACGGGGGGTCCATCCGCCCGTCTGATTGCCCCCCCGCCTGCCTCGCCCTGCCTGCGGGGGGGGGGGGGGGGGGCGCGCCCCCCACCTGTTGTTGCGTGCACGCCGGCCTCCGCCCGGCGTGCTGGGCTGGCAGTCAAGGTAGCCGGGGAGCCGGCAGTCAAGGTTCTGTCGATCGGGGAGATCGCTTTGCTCGAGGGGGGGGCGAGAGGGAGAGGGGTTGGGAGAGGGACATGGGGGAGGGGGGGGAAAGGGACAGAGAGAGAGGGAGAGAGAGGAAGAAAGACAGAGGGAGAGAGAGAGAGAGAGAAAGAGAAATAGAAAAGAAAGAGAGAGAGAGAGAGAGATGGAGAGCGGTCCAGACATCCTGGCGTCACGATCATTTCTTGGCGTGGCCAGCCAGACCTATCGGCAAGCATCCCCAGGAGCCGTCCCCAGGTGTCGTGCGTGGCCTGGGGGCGCCCGAGCTGAGGAGACGGAGGGGCCGCCACGATGCTCCCCGAGACGCCGGATATCCAGGAGGACAACAGGTATCGGGTCGGGAGGATGGGGCTGGGAGAAACGAGGATCTTTTTTCGCGTAGGCGGCCGAGGGTATCATTCATTTCATCCGGATGTTATTGCTCATACCCTTCATCTTCCCAACCCCTTCCTCCCAACACGGTAAGTGCTTTCCTCAGAGATCTCGGGAGGAGCCCACAAACTCCAATGCTATGACTTTTCCGGCCTTTTTCGTGTTGGCCTTTTTCGTGTTGTCTCCTGATTCCTGCCCTGGGGGGGGCGATGCAATCTCAAACGCTGTTCCGAGACGAGGCGCTACGGTCGGGAACCTCTCGATTGCGTGCCGCTGCGCCAGATGCGTAAGGCCCACCACGCCTCGGCGCGACGCGTAGGGTCGGCGTCCCGAGCTTTTCCGGAGCCTCCCGCGCGGAGCGGAGCGACGTGCTGTCCGCTCGCAGGGCACAGCGTGTCGCCGGGGCCGCCGTGGCGACACGCTGTCCAAAAGTTTCCGACCTTACCCCCGGGCATGGGCCTCTGGGGCCGTCGGGCCAGGTCGTCTAGGTCGGGAGCAGCGCCTCCCTGCCTCGCGCGCGCCTCCCGCCGCCCGAACTGCCCGACGGCGAGGGGGCGCCCGATTGGCGTACACGGCCTCCTACTACTCCGACGAGGCTGGGGCTGTGTGCTTTGGGTGGTGGTGGTGGGATGGGGCGATGAGGAAGCAGGAGGGGAGGAGCCTCCTCCTCCTGCTCGTCCTCCTCCTTCCTCGTCGCCCCACCCCCTATCTTACCTTTTATCTCCTCCTCCACTTCCTCCGAGGAGGAGGTGAAGGAGGTGGAGGAGGAGTATGAGGAGAAAGAGGCGGAGGAGAAAGGAGGACGTGGAGGAGGAGAAGGAGGCCCACGAGGCGGAGAAGAGAGGGAGGGACGGCGGGGAAGGGTGGATGGGAGACGACGGGCAAGGATGAGCGGAAGAGGGGTGGGAGGAGGACACGGATGATGAGGAGGGCGACTTGTGCAAAACAAGATACAAGCCCCTTCGCACGGGGTGGCCCCCCTGCATGGGCCCCCGCCCGCGCGAGGGGAGAGCGGAGTGGAGGGTGGGAGAAGGGAGGGACGGGATGGAATAAGAGGGGTGCAAGAGGGATGGAGGAGATAAGGAAAGAGTGAAGGAGGATGGCGGGAGGAAATGAGGGCGGTATGGGATGGGGGGGAGGAGGAGGAGGAGGAGGAGGAGGAGGAGGAGGAGGAGGAGGCGGCGGAGGAGGAGGAGGGTCGGCCGACCTGCGGGACACCCGCGGGAACAAGGCTGCGGACTGGCTGGCGGGACAAGGCGCCCGCAGGCAGGAGTTCGATCAGACAACGATCGACGTGATCAACGCAATGCAGAAATCGTACAGGGCTGTTTGTTCTTGGCATTGGTAAAATACTGGCCTTGTGGCCCCCAACCGCGGAGCTTTTTCAGATCAGCAAGAGGGTTGTGTGTCCTCGCCGCAGTACATAGGCCCATGAACCCACATGTCCCTCGCTGGCACGTAGATCACTGGAGATGCGCGTGTTGCTTGAGGAAGGTCTCTGCACTCACCAAGACCCCCTGCCGCGCTTTGACCCCGCCCCTTCTCAGTGTCCTGAGGGCTCCCGATAAGTTCGGGCACAGCATACACGTGTCCTGGATTGTGGGCTCGGGGTGCCCTGTGGTGTGTTGCACTCGGTGTGGACACTATGGAACGTTAAAGGCGCTGGCTTTCAGGGGAGGACGTGTGTAGAGAATCTCACGTCCAAAGAAAGGAGGTAGAAAATGAATGGTAAGCTGCCTATGTCGGTAATCCCTCAGTCCCCTTGAGCTGGGTTTGTGCCCAAGTCATGTGTTGTGCACGTATGACTCATCTGTACTGGTCTCTATGGGTCTCTCTATGGGAGGAGGGGGAGGAGGAGGAGGAGGAGGAGGAGGAGGAGGGAGGAGAGGAGGAGGAGGAGGAGGAGGAGGAGGAGGAGGAGGAGGAGGAGGAGGAGGAGGAGCAGGGGAGGAGGAGGAGGAAGGGATGAAGAGGAGAAGGAGGAGGAGGTGAGGAGGAGGAGGAAGGGGAGGAGGAGGAGGAGAGGAGAGGAGGAGGAGGAGGAGGAGGAGGGGCAGCTCCAGGTTGAGCAGCAGCACCAGGCTCCCTCCCCCTTGGCATCGCTCGAAGGTGCCGATTTTTCTCGGCAGGGACCATCGAGGAGCATTCTTGCGCACCCTGCGAAAAAACATGCACGCAGGAAACAGAAACGCGCACAGGGAATGACCGTCCGAGCGAGGGCGAGCCCCTCTCCTGCCCCACCTCCGCTGGGCAGGAGGGGCACCCCGGCGGCGGCGGTCGGCCTCCTTGGCGCCCGCCGGCGAGGCGGCGAGGCGGATCGCGGTGGCGCGCGCGCGTTTGCCTAGGTCACCCCCAGGGGCTCGAAGATGCACGCCGGTCGTTGGAAGTATGTATTTCTGGACTCCCAGATCCCAATCAACTGTGGCCGCCCTTCCACTTCAAGAGTCGAGCGGTGTTCCATCGCACCTCCTCTTCAGGGGGCGGGTGGAAATCCAACCTGCTTCCAAAGCCTGACTGATTTCACGTTCCTGCCCACTTCTTCCGACCGACGGGTAACCGCGTTTCGTGCGTCGCGGTCTGGGGGCTGACCTTGCCCTTCTTCAAGGTGGCGGTGCCTTGGCGCGAGAGCGCGAAGAGAATCGCGCGTCGCGCATCGTGGGGTGAGGCGCGCGAAATTACGGTCGGAAGCTTTTGGTTAGTGTGACGCTCCGCTGGTTCTGGCCCACCACGCTTCCACATCCCAGCCCCCAGGCGTCCGTGCCTCGATCTTTTCAGAGCACCCCGCCCCTCGGAGCGGAGCGACACGCTGTCCGCTCGCAGGTTATAGCGTGTCGCCGGGGCCGCCGCTACGACACGCTAAGCAAAAGTTCTCTACCGCAGGTGACCTGGTTTGCGCAACAGCAGGGAGGAGCAGGAGGGATGCCGAGGAGGACAAGGTGCTGTTCTCGCGCCGCACACCCACTCGACGCCGTGATTGATTGATTTGTTCGCAGCAAGGACGTGTCCAGAGGTCCTCGACCAAGTCCCCGCGACCGGCTTTTCGTCTCGGGTCGCTTTTTGACCCTGCCTGGGCCCAGCAAGGGCCCCCCCGAGGCCGAAAGTAATAAACAGCTGTGTGCCGCGGTTGTGTCTCGGAACCAGAAATCAACGACGCGAGGAGGACTGCATCGAGGAGATAAGCCCCCCCCCACCCCCCAAACCAGAGCCAGGTTTTGCCAAAGGCGTCCCTGTCACAAGGGTGTCCCAGGAGGCCCCAATGTCCTCCAGAGCACCCATCGCGAGGCCGAGAGAGCCCCAGGCTTTCCAGAATGCAGCGACAAGCTGGGGACACCCTGAGCCAAGGACATCTCTGGCACCACTCGGCAGTGGCGAGGCGCCCGTGCTGGGATGCGCGCTGGAGGAGCTCACGGCGCGCCGCCGAGGGCACTCCTGGCTGGAGGCGGGCGCCGTGCCGCCGGGGTTCGACCCACAGCCGTGGGACCTCCGTCTCCGCGCGCCGTGCCACAAAGCTCACGACGGAAAGCCCTGGCGGTTTTCGTCTTCCAGCCTCGGTAGGAGTTCCAGCCTTGCCGAGAGCGCTCGGGGGGTGCCCGGATCGTTCCGAGCGGCCGCTGGAGACCGGAGGCATGGCCCGAAAGCGAGACTTCCTCGCCTCGCGTGCAGTTCACAGCGGGAGTTGTTCCACCGTTTTCGCCCTCTGAGGGCCTCTCACGGGCGCCGGAATGTGAAGACCACCTCGCACGGACAAACGGTGGTTCCCGGGGAGGCGTCGAGGCCTCTGGGGTCAACAACAGCGCGGCGTCGGAGATAGTTGAGGGGCGTGCGGTAGTTTCGGGCCGCGATGCCGCGATGGTGGTGACCCCAGCGCGGGCGTCATAGGTGTTGGACCTCGCCCACGGCTTCGGATCGGCCGACGTCGAAGAGTCCAATCCGCGTTGTCGGAAAGCTGCGGTCGTTCCAGGTTGAACGGTAGACGCGATGTCAGGGACCAAGGCCGAGATGTCGTCACGACACGAACTCGCTGTAGAAATCCAAGCATGTACAAACACATCGACGTTCGGAGGGCCGATTCGATTTCTTCGGTCGACGCTGACCCTCTCTCTCTCTCTTTCCACAGCCTTTCCTGGCGTGCGCGCCCCCCCAGAAATCTGCGAGAACCTCCGAACGTTTACCCAGCTGCCTGCGGCAAGTGCCGCCACCGTGCCAGCCCAGCAGTCTGGATGGCGACAGTTCGAGGGGGCACGGGAGGCCGTCACACGTGACACTGCAACACCATCGTAATTGAGGATAGTTATGATGATGAGGAGGAGCATGATGATGATGGTAATGAATGTCGACGTTGGTGTTGATGGTGATTGGTGATGGTGGTGATGGTGAGCATAATCATGATCATGCTTGAGATGATGATCATGATCACGAGGATGGGGATGAAGATGAGGATGAGGATGTTGACCATGATGACGGTGATAATGATAATGATGCTGATGATGATCATGATCATGATCATGATCATAAGGTTGATGCTGATCAGGATAATGAGGTTGATGATGATGATGATGTTGATGGTAATGGTAATGGCGACTACGACGACGACGACCACGACGACGACGACAACTAAGGCGATGATGATGATGCTGATGATGATGATGCTGATGATGATGGTGGTGATGGTGATGGTGATATTGATGATGGTGATGGCATTGGTCCATGATGGTGCTTATGATGCTGATGCTGATGCTGATGATGATGATGATGATAATGATTATGCGGATGATGATGCTGATGCCGAAGATGATGTTGGTGATGTTGATGATGGTGATGATGATTATGACTATGAAGATGATGATGATGATGATGCTGATGACGATGATGATGAGGATGAGGATGATGATGATGCTGATGATGACGCGGATGATCATGATGATGTTGTTGATGATGATGATGTGGATGAGGATGATGATGCTGGTGTTGGCGCTTATGATGATGATGATGTTGATGATGGTGATGACAGTGGTGGTAATGGTGCTTATGATGATGCTGATGATGATTATGATGATGGTGATGCGGATGATGCTGATGCTGCTGATGATGATGATGATGGTGATGGTGATGCTGATGATGGTGATGATTATGATGATGGTGATGCTGATGCTGCTGATGATGACGATGGTGATCATGAGGATGATGATGCTGCTGCTGCTGCTGATGATGATGCGGATTAGTATGATGATGCTGATGATGATGATGCGGATGAGGATGCTGATGCTGATGCTGACCCTGGAGCGGTTGGGAGCAGCGCCTGGCAATGCGGGACGTGCATGATCCTCGAGCGGGTGCGCGTGGGATGACGGGTTTCGGAGATAGCTGCCGCGCGGGAAGGGCGCAATCTTCGAGCGGGCGCGCATGGAATGAGGGCTCAGACATCTAGCTGCCACGGGAAGAGCGCAAACCTCGAGCGGGTGAGCGTGGAAGCGGGGTTCATTCATTAGCTGCCATGCGGGAAATCCACCATCCTCGAGCGGGCACGCGTGGAAGGGGGGTTGACGCATTAGCTGCCATGCGGGAAGTGCTTTATCCTCAAGCGGGCACGCGTGGAAGGGGGGTTCAAGCATTAGCTGCCACGATGGAAGTGCACCATCCTCGAGCGGGCACGAGTAGCGGCCTCGGTGAGCAGGGGGATGCACGCAAGAGCCTGTATATAACTAGAGGGGGAAATCCCTTGTTGCCAAAACCCTACCAGACAGCCCTTGGCATTCTTCCACGCCTCAACGTGCCAGGGGGCGCGGTGGCGGATTTCAGCATCTCTACTCCTTCTTGTACAGAGGAAGATCGTGGATCAAGCTTTTCGGGCGTTTTTTGTTGACCCTCCTGAGTTGGGCACCCGTCTTGAAAAAAAATGCGGCTCGATCCTCCTCCCCCCTTCCTCCTCCCGCCTCCCCCCCTCCTGCCTCGCCTCGCACCGATCTTGGCTGGGCCGGCCCAGCACCCAGGATGATCCGTGCCTGCGCCTCCCCGGCCAGACCAGGAGGGAGGCGAAGACACCGGCCCTGGACTCGGGCCAGCGGCCCGGCCAGGGTCGGCGAGGTGGGCAGCGAAGAACGCCCCCGGAAACAGGGCGCCCGGAGGACGGGAGGCATCCGGCGCCTCGAGAAGAGATCGCGGCGGCCAGTTCGTCGCCGCTGTGGCCTCCGGAGGCCCGTGGACGGAGAGTCGGGCCGTAGACGGAGCTTCGAGAGGACACACACACACACACCGGCTCTGGGGAAGGAGTCGAGCCGCTGTCGGGCGCCCGGGCCCTCCCGGGGCCTCGGGGCCGTCAAGCGACAGCGCGGGCTTCATGAATGGTTTCCAGAGAACGGCACGGGGGGCAGGAGTCGTTTTCACCAGGACGCTGTTCCTTCAAGTTCAGGCTCGGAGGTGTCAACGATGGGTGGTGGTGGTGGTCACTGCATAAGGGAATCAAGTCCCGAGCAGAGCAACAAGCACCACGACCACGACGACGCCGACGACGACGACGACGACGGAGACGAGGTGCGCAGACGATCCGCGCCGAAGCACGGATTTGGGAGAGGGCCCACCCTGCAGGTTCGGTTAAACAGCACATCGTTGAGTGGACTCTGGGCTCGTTTCGGCACCCTTATGCAGCGACCACCACTTGGATTGCCAGGCATTGCAAGCCGCCTGGCTGTCCGTTTGTCCGTCCGTTCGTCTGTGTGTCTGTCTTCCCGGCTCTCTGAGCCGTGGTGCTTTGAGCTTCTTAGCTCAGGGACGCGTCGGTCACCGTCGCCCTCTCCCTTGCCGGTGGCCCTGTCAATGATGGGGAGGAGGAGGAGGACCAGGAGGAGAGGGAGGAGGAGGAGGAGGAGGAGGAGGAGGAGGATGAAGATATGAGGCGTTCCAAAAAGGGCCTTGCCTTCGAGAGTCGAAAGGTTGCCATCTTTTCCTCGGCGGAAGGTCGGCGGAAGTAAAACGGCGGCGGCTCCTCCGGCGGAAGCCGGCGAAAGGCCGGCGAAAGTAAAAGTCGACCTTCGAGAGTGAACCACCTTTTTGGATTCAGGGTTTCCGGAAGCGGCCATATGGAGACATGGAGGAGGGGAAAAAGGGGAAGGTTTTGTTGTGTTGTGTTGGTGGGCAAGCGAAGCGGTTAGACCCGCGGTTCGACTAATGGCGGAGAATAAAAGGGAGCAGGCGAAGGAAAGACGCCTGGAGGAGATTTCGTTCGGACATCTTGTCGCCTCTTTCGGTGGATCAACGTGGATCGTTGTTATTTTGGCGTGTCCGCCTCTGGGACATCGCAGGGCACAGGACGCACCCCTGAAGTAGCCACAGTCAAAGTCCGTGATGAATGCGACCGCACGCGACGGATCAGTCTGAGCTTGTCACTGTGGCCAGCAGAGGATTGGATACCCCAGGTGGACTCTGCATCGGCACCGGCAGGACGGCGGTGATGCTGGCAGCAGCCGCAAAGGAGCTGTTTTCCTGTACAGTTTTCAGCTGGCACGTTGCCGTGCCTACCAAAAACAACATTTTCTTTGTGAGTCATGCCAGACGCGCGCACCTCCATCGATGCGCCGTGCAGCAGCCAAGCATAGTACCATATATGTCCGAACATGTGCGTGAACACCTTCTACTCATCTGCACGCCCAATTTCTTACTTTGCGCATGGAGGGTAGCTTGCTGTTCCAGCTAAACGCCGAGCGCACATGGCCACGACGAAGTATTTATGGATGAGTGCGTACGAGCATGCGCGAGCATGTTCATAATGGCGCCCGCGTGTCGATGTTCACAGCCAGGTCGACAGTTGGAAGATGCACATGGCACGGCTTTCTTTTGAGAGGTGCGTGCTATGGCGGCCGCAAACATTTTCTGCATCGTAGTGCCATGCTGATAGGCTTGGATACACGCTTTGGTTCTGCAGCGGTGCAGGCAATGAACTCGCCACGCGCGAACCACTCATTGCTCTTTGCCGTGAGCGGTCCTGCCTTTGGTACATGTTTGTCAGTCTGTCTAGTACTGACTGTGCTTCCCGGCCCTGCATCAGCCTTGCCAGTTCCTGTTTTTAATGACCTGGTTCCCTCCCCACGCATCGATCTGCTATCCTGACCCCTGCAGTGGAATAGTGCGCCGTGGCTGCATTGTTTGTTTTACACATATTGAAGGCTTTGCTTTTTCAGCTCGCATGTGGTCAGATCTCTGTCCGATAGGGGGCAGCACGCCCACGCAGGCGCGGGGAGCACTTGGTGGCGTTCAGCGCAGCTCGGCTGGCGCGCAGCTCTTCTCTGAAGGTCTGCGCCCCCTGCCGACGGCCCCCCCCCTAGACTGCTTGCGTGGCCACGCTTGGTTGGCAGGCTGGTTAAATGTTTCTTTCGGTTGGCAAGCTGGCAACTCAGCTGACTAGCTTGTTGTCCTAACTGACAATTGGCAAGTGATGTCGGCTGTTGGTTAGCTGGCTGGTGGCACGTGTCTGCAACGATTATCTATGTGCAGGGATGGTGGCCTCGGGAGCTCGCTCCCCTTGCAATTTACGAGGGGGCGACGCTTCGGGAGCGCGTACCCCTAGCTATTTGCTAGGATTCGTGGCCTCGAGCCCCGAGCCGAGGTCTGAGGACACGACGGTGGGGCTCAAAAACGCCTCCCGAAGTCCCAATACAGAAAATGCCGGTGTTTCTCCGCTGGAGAGGACTGGCTCTTCTAGGTGGCATCCGTGGAGTAGGCCCGTGGCATCGGCGGCGCGAATCTAGCGTTGGTTGCTAGGGGCTGTGGGTTGCATAACGCAAGTCTTACATAGTTCACATTGGATTGTGTTCTACGTATCTCCGCTTCCACGCAGGAATTCAGATTACGTGATTCCGGCGTGGTTAGCGGATTATTTTCGACCTCCCGCTTCGCGCGGACTCCAATCATTCAAAGAGTGGAGCTGGAAAGTGCTACACATCCCATAATCGAGATTTGGGAACAAGAACCGGCGCAGGGAATTGGAACACGTAGGCTTCGCAGCCTGTTGGCCCCCCGAGGGGGCCGGCAGATCACATGTGGCGCTGAGGTCTTGGCTTTCATTGAGTGCGCAGAAAGGAGCTGGCACAGTGTGTGAGCTATGCTGACCACGAGTCCGGCCGTCCCGATTGCCATATGACGGGCTGTCGCCAGAGGGCTCCTGAGGGAAGCGGATCCCAGATCCCCGGGCTCCCCCCGGGACAACTTCTTCGTCTTGAGTCGTTGTGACGCTCCTGGGACCCGTGGAGGGCCCCGAGGGCCCTTGATCACTGCGAGAGGGGCCCGCGGAGCGGGCTCCCGCGAGAAGCCTGGAAGACGCGGTCCCCGAGCCCGGTCTCGGTGGCAATTCTGCACAGGCCCCACACCCTCCCCTGGCGGCTCCTGGCCGCCCCTCGCCTCCATCCCCCTCCGTTCTCCCACCGCTCCCCTCACGTCAGAGGAGGAAGAGGGTCCGATGCCACTGCCTCGAAGAAGAACAAAAACACGCAAACATAAACTTTTTGGCGCTCCGCGCTGATTTCTTGGATCCCCGCCTGGGCCCCCCGGCGGCGCCTCCGGCGCCGCCCCTGGCGCGCTCCGCGCGCCAGGGAGGGGGGTCCAGCGCGAATCCAAGAAATCCGCGCGGAGCGCCAAAAGTTCATGTTTATGGTTTTTTCTTCTGCTGCTGCCCCTCCCCCTTTGCCCCTCGCCACTGCCGGCTTCGCCGCGAGATCCTGGTCCGTATCTTGTTATTTCCCCATCGCCTCCCTCCCCTTCCCCCCCTCCCCGCCTCCTCCATCTCTCGCTAGGCCCAGGGCCAGGGCCTGGCAAGTATCATGTTACTTCGGAGTGTGTTCGGGCCGCTTGAGTGAGAAAGGAAATACTGGTGATTCCTTCCCTCCGGAGGCCCAAAACTTGTCCCTCCCCCGTCGCGGTGTTTTTTTTTGACTGCAGCGAGCTTGCGCGTATGGCATGCCACAGGTCTGACCAATCCGCCCGCAGGCGTCCGCCAGGCCAACATAGAGTCGTCGGGTAAAGCACCTTGCAGGCTGGAACCCGTAAGGGACCCTCCCAGATCTGTGGTGTCAGCGATAGAGGAGGAGGAAGAGGAGGAGGAGGAGGAGGAGGAGGAGGAGAAGGAGGAGGAGGAGGAGGAGGAGGAGGAATATAGAAGAGCACAAAGAAAAAGGGCGGGGAGGGATTGGGCAGAGTTGGGCTTGCGGCTCCGACGGAGCCCTCCCTAGGTGGGCGGACCCCCGATGGACCGTCTGACAGCACGCGGCGCCCCCCCCAAACCGAGGGGCGCGGGCGGTGTCTCAGCTCTTCGCGCTGTACCACTCTGGAGCCCCTGAGGCCCTCTCGGCCCGTTGCTGTCGTTGCTCTCCGGGGTCGTCCGCCTTGCGGGGCCTCTGGCGGGCGGAAAGGGACGCGCCTGCAGGCAGATAGGCTTTGTGTTCCGGCCGAGTAGGCAGCTTGCGTCGGTGACCTTCTGACTTCCCCATAAGGGCCTCTCGAGGTCATCAGCTGGTGCGAACCACCCCCACTGCGTGCTCCGCACTTGCCACGGGGGGCAGGACCATTGCTTGCCCCTCGGGGATTGACGTCCCAGCAGGGAGGAAGTAAATGTAGGATGTAGGTTGGAAGATGCGCGTGAGGGGTGCTCTGTGAGACCACCTGGCCTTCATTGGCAGAGCTGGGGCCACCTTGGGCCAGGCCGGGGCCCCCTGGGACGACGTCCGATTTCTGGCCGAGGCGCAGGTTCTCCACCTCCCTCCACCCTCCTGCCTCCCTCCTCCATCCTGCCTGCGTTCGTGCCGGATTGAAGGCGGCTCCTAGGCGTGCGACCGCCGAGCAATGCGGGAAGGGTGTCGAAGTAGGCACCGCTCTCCGAACGTCCCCCCATCCTACCTCCCTCCGCCTCCTCCCCCTCCTTCCCCTCCCACTCCTCCTCCTCCTCCCCCTCCTCCTCCTCCTCCTCCTCCTCCTGCTTCTCGTCCTCCTCCTCTTCTTCCTCCTCCCCCTCCAACCATGGACGTGGGGTCATCCTCCTCCTCCTCCTCTTTCTCTTCCTCCTCCTCCTACAACCTGTAAATTTGCTTCATGACCTTAGTGATACGTTTATGTGCCCTTGTACGGCGTACCTCTCCAAGCTGAGCGGATGTATCGTACGACTTGGTCTCTTGGTCTGTGCCGAGCAGAGGCTGAAGATTGGGGTCGTGAGCTTTAAGATGGGGGAGCGGCTGGGCGCTACTTGATGACAAATGGAGGCATTCAGGGATCACTTGAGATGCCCAAGCAGTTCGTCGGCGTGTTACGCGATACTGATGAGCAATTACGTGGGCATCCCACACAGACATATATACCAGCACAGTGTGAAGCTCTTATTCGTGATCTGATCGACTTCTCGATCTCGGGACTAGCTGATGACATGTTTCGCAAGCGACCGTTTCTTCTTCGTGGGCTCCGTACGGAGCAGGTGATTTCGATCACTGTCGAGAACGACCGAGTGATGAATGTTATTTTCTCTTGGCAGATTTGTTTTGCAGTTTCCCACATCTTGGATCGACGAATGCGAATCGTAGGTTGCAGGAGGATTGCCCAACACCGCGCGCGGAAGTTGAAGCACACGCGCGTCACTTGGGAACACGGTGCACCATGAAGAGGAACAACGGGGTGGATCTTGGATTGCGTTTCCGTATACCCAAAAAAGTGTAAAAAAGGACAGGATGGAATTTCTGGGATGTCCTGGCACGCGCGTGGACTACGTCGGCTTGAACGTGAACTATTTGAGAGCGCGGTGGTGCAGCAGGGCCTCACGGGCCCAGATGCATGTGCATTTTCTTTACATTGTGAGTGGGGATCTTGTTTCCTCGGCGCAGGAATCCCTCACCCCTCGCGTTGTCACACTCACTCGATCACTTTCACTCAGTCATCACTCACATCACCATCACCATTCCCAGCATTACCACTGTCACCATCCCATTCACGATCTTGATCATCATCCGCATCAGCATCAGCAGCATAATCCTCATCACCCGCACCAGCATAACCTTCAACATCATCATCAACACCGTCGACCATCGATCATCCTCACAATCACCGCCACCACCAGCATATTTAGCCACTCAATCGCTCACTCGCTCACGCACTCACCCAACACACTCTTCACTTACCCACTCATCATCTTGCCAGAGTTGCTCAGTCCTGAACCATGCGGGAATATCAGGCGGGAGCCTCGTCTGTGTGTGAATTGCACGGACGTCTCAAGCAGGAACCCTTCTCCCTTATGTGGCCCGCAGAACATGTTATTAATCCGAGTGGGTCATCGGAAACATGTAATTGTCGTCACTTCTAGGCTCTTGAAGCGTGATTGTGGAGGAAATATCGCGCGGGAGCTTCGTTTGCGAGTGAATTGCGAGGAAGTTTTTAAAGCGGGGGGGTAAACTCCTGCAGGTTGAATATTGAGGAAGTATCAGGCGGGAGCCCCGTGTGTGAGTGAATTGCGAGAAAGTCTCAAGCGGGAGCCCTCGCCCAATGGAACCAGCATTTCATGTTGGTAAATCCGAGCGCGAACCTTGTAACTGTCGTCACTTTTGGGCTCCTCAGGCTCGAATCTTGCGGACGTTTCAGGCGGGAGCCTCGTCTGT